AAAAATGAACTGGTTATGATGAATGTTACAGTTGTCAAAAAAAACAGAAGTAGTTGTGTCTAGTACACATAGAGACTGTTGTAATGGGTGCCTACACATGATTATTGTAATGTAACAGTAATATCAGTACTATAGTTTTTATTTCTATTACCAATAAATTTTATTTATATTTAATGATAAGCATTATTTTCTCTGATCATCCTATTCATAATGCCTCCTAAAAGCGAACTATTTTACAGTGTTATTTTAAGCCCCAGACTTTATTATTTATGTTTAGGCTGACAGAAATTAAAGAAAAAATCAACCATTTTAATGAAGTCATTCGACGACTTGACATGGATCTAGAGGAGCACCAAGGTAATATCATTGAATTAATAACAGAATATAAAGCCACATTTATAAAAACTGCCTTTAAATTTGCCAGGCCATATTCTGGGGTTTGCAGTATCTGATGACCTAAAACTTTGATTTACATCTGCCTCTCTACCTTATGTACTCTGTTAGGGCTGTTAAGACATTTGGGATACAAATTGCAGTTTGTGGGATCCCAGTATTTTGGGTGTCCTGCACTGGCTTGAGGACAACTGAAATTTGGGTGAAAATGTGATTCTGGTCAGAAAATGAGTGTTCTAAAATAGTAATTTTTTAGTACCTCTATTTCTTTTGAATTTCCCAGTCTTATCTCAGTCTCTTTTTGAAAAATATGAGTCTTTAGGCTAGCAGCTATGCTGAACTAATATAGCTTCAGGAAAAGAACACATTGGCCAGGTCTGCATGTGTGCTTTACTGAGCATTAGACTTATCTAATGCTCATTAAATCATCATTGTCTACACATCCACAGCAATTACTGCACAGTAGAATTATTTAAAGCATTATTTGCTAGTACCAACAGATACAGGTACTAGAAAATAGTGCTTTAAACTGATGTCCTTAAGCACATGTGTAGATGCTGAACCAGGGGGCCTGGAGCTTGCCCTGCCTGCTGCAGCGGGACAGAGCAGGGCAGGAGCAGCCCTGGACTATGCCGCTCCTATTGGGCTCAGTTTCATCTCAGCCCAGACACACATGTAGACCTATGCTTGGGTGCAGTTTAATGTGCCTGAAATTACTGCACAGTAAATCTAAGTGCATTAATTGCACATGTAGACACACCCACTGAGTGCATCTACACATGTGCTTTACTGTGGAATAGACTAATTAACTCCATAGTAAAGCATCACTGTCTACATGTGCACTGGTATTAGGGCGCAGTAAACAAATTAACTCTGCCCTAAAATAGTGCTGTTGGGGATTAACTGCAGTAAAATGCACATGTAGCTGGTGACCATGAATGTAAATTGCACCCAGTCAGCCCAGCCAGCCAGGGACCAGACTTCTGCCTACTACCTAGCCACATAGCTGTGCAGGTTCTGTACCTTCTTGCTCCAGCCAGCCCCAGTGCCATCCAATGCCTCTATCCAGAGCCTGCGGCGAACCCCCGGTGCTCCCTACCAGCCTACGGCTGCTCCGCCCCAGCTCAAATTGTTGCTATCCTGGGCACACATGTAGATGCTGTGCCCAGGAGTAGTTTACTCTGGCTCCAACTGCTCTGGAATTTATTGCTTCTCATTAATTGCTTCTGTGGATGCTCCCACTATTTATTCATTCTGCCTTCTATATCTCCTGGAATATTGCCAGCTAGTTTGTAACTCATCACAGTATTTGTTGCCTATAATGAAT